TATAACCAACCCTTTCATCCCACTAGATTGCTATTTGAAAAAACTATTTTCATATCAGAGAAAAAAACCTCAGCAAGTTGCAATCACCAAGCCACAGCATGAGGAACGGGGCCATATGGGATGCAGATGATCCTTCCATTACTCCCACTCCATCTCAAAGCAGCACATACTGGAGCTGTGTGAAAAAAGGTTTAAATCGAGAAGTGTCATGTTCAATCTTCAACTTTCGTGACATCCTCCCCTGCAGCTCAAGATACAGTAGTAAATATATTTCATAAACAGTCACCTCRGACAACAAGTGCACTTCAAGTCCATAGAGAAGGTAGATATAAAATAACTGTGTGAAATTCTGTAACTATCTCATGCAGGAGGCTAGATGATCAGAACAGTCCCATCTGACTGTAAAAGCTACATATCTTTAAAACTGGCACAACTCAGTGTCCCAGAATCATCTAATTATCCAACAAGGACTTTTCGAAAACTCGAAGAAGGAAATTGAATCACGAGAGATATATTCCAGATCCCAAGAGAAAGATACATAGATCAAATCTTGCAGCGATAACCAGGTCTGAGAGGGGAAGACATGCTACAAGCAGGAGATCAAGCTGAGAGACAAAACTTTAAGAGGTTGCCCCATTTCATGGGTTCTCACTAGTGTATGCCGGGAACTCTCCTTCCTGAATTCCCAGAAATGGTTTCATCATTGGTGCACACTGTAAGACTGCCTCAGAACAAAGCCAATTTTTTAAATGCATTTTGACATATTGCCACACCAAGTTTCAGTATGAATACTTGAATATTTGCTTCTAAGAGGGCACAAGATTTTCCTGTTGTTCCAATCCTTCTTTTTCTCTTTCTTTTCTCTTTAATGGAGAATCTCATTATATGTAACACCAGGGCATCATACTGACAGAAAACAGTCCTGGGCCAGTTTCCCCAGCATCGTAAGAGTCATTATCACTGCAGTATATCCTCTAGTTATCAATGTCACATGTCAAACTGGTGAATTGGAATGGGGAGCAAATTATTCTTTTGGCCTCACCAATACATTAAGGTATGTCAGCAAGGGAAAGGAAAGCCCCTGGGCCGGCTATGTTTGTTCCGCACTCACACACAAATGTTACAAGGCTTCACCATTCTTCATCCAGTATTGAAAAGCTACATCAACAGCAGGAAGCAAAAATATCAAATAACTGCTGGCAGAAACTACTACAAGATACTTCCTATTACTGCTCTGTGCCATTACATTCATTCCTGTACTAATTTCCTTGAAAACCTGTGAATAGGCTGTAGATACACAGAAAGGCTACATTTAAAAAGTTAGTCTTGGTCCCAGTCATTCTTTGTATTAAATCACAATTGTTAAAAAATCCTAAAAACTATAATTTCAATTCCAGCCTGTGCCACTTAGCCAGCTCCTGGGTGTTTTCCCCTTCCCATTACCTACCAGCCACACCACTAACCTCAGTCTGGTACCCCTGGAGCCATGTGGCACCTAAAGCTCTACCTGAGGTTGCTCAAAACACTGCTTACTTTCTCTGCTTAAAGCATTCCTCCCCCTCCTTTATTATCTAGTTCAAACTTCTCCTTCCTTAGCTTTAAGATATTGATCCTTCTCATTCCATCTGAGACCAAGCAATTCCCTCCCTTCATTTATCTTACTGTCTTGATGGTATTAATAGATTATGATAGTCACCTCTACGCACTCTCAAATTGAGTTCACTCTGCTTTTTGCTGTCCTCCTTTGTGTTCTCTCTAGTTTTCTTACAGTCTCCACATGCAAAAAGAGACTTAACTGACAAAATATTCAAGCTAATCAGGCCTACGTATAGGACCTTATTAGCATAACCAATGACGCTGTTGCTATAAAACTGAAGCTATGATGCATAAAAATGAATTGTGATGATGTACGTTCATCCAAGAACAATATGGCCTGTARATCAGAGAAATATGTTAAGTATTTTAAAAACAAATTATGCTGGGGACAAACAAACAAAAAAAAGAGATAGGATGAATCAGTCACTGAAGAGTACATGCCATTCTACTCTTCTCTCAGAAACACATCTGGCCACCATTAATGGAAAGTTGAAATATGCCTTCCACCTACTCCTCTGTGTCCTTTTACCAAGCTATTGAAACCAAGCACCATTAGGTATTAATGTGTTAATACGAAGTAAATGATCCATGGGGACTGCATAGCTTAAAAAATGGTGGAGCTAAAATGACTCTCAGAATTGGGCAAGCCCTAGATCATGGTTAGATTGTTAAACCCATGCAGAAGAGGATAACCCGAAGTAATCCTACATGAGAATTTAAAAGCTTTGCTTTTGTGTTTTGTCCTGAGAACTTTATAAGTATCAGAATTACAAAAACACTGAAGAGATTTTTTTTTTTTTCCCCCAGGAAATATGAAACAAAATGACAGCAACTGTGAAAGTACTAACATAAAAAGAGAATTACAGATGTCTAACTTGGCTTTAAAAGGTTCTGTACTATGCTATGAAAAAATGCTACAGGCAGCAAACACAGACACATCTCATACTTTTGCTTTCTGCCACCCTTGGTTCTAAACAAAGGAGAGCTCAGTGGTAGCAAGACTCCAGGATGCATCTAACATAAATGAGAAATCTGTAATATCCAAGCATATATATATTTTTTTTATCTTTGCTCCAGCTGGTATAAACACTTACTTGGCCTTTGCACTGCTTTCCCAGTGTTTGTCTCTATTTATACACACAGCCCAGGTTCATTTGCAATAGTATGAACATTATAATTAGACAGTCCTATAAAACGCCTGCTCTCCAGAACACATGTATCAATCTTCCCTCCTCAAAGGCTCCGGCAGGCAGACTGGTGCTGAGGACCTCTCTTTCCAGGAATCTATCTATTAAAAGGAAAGAAAATTTAGACACATCAGTGAGTGTTCTTTGTAAAGATGGAGACATTTGATGGAAGAGAGAAGAGACTCATACATTCATTTAGCGCATCTTTTTCACCTATCCATCTGTTCCCTCCACTCTCCAATTCACTAACCACCTTCTTTGGTGTCTCTTCCCCTTCCTCCCTCCTCCCCTGTCCCCCAACCAAATGCTCAGATCTGTCCATTTTTCATTTCAGCGCATGACTCAAGTTACTCAGACATGACACGGTGGAAGGTACTTTTGCTCTTGTTTTTCCCCCCACTACTGCCAAAATAGGCAAGTATATGAAGTGGCATTAAATTCAAAACTGCATTTAATATTTAATAATGCATGAGAGCCAGTTTTCTGCTGCCCTTTGTGCACTTGATTTCACACTCGAGCCATCACTGTTAAATCAATGCGACTCCAATCTCAGCAAATACAGCAAATACCAGTAAGACAGTTCCCTCCCATGTTAACATGGGCACAGGGGGACCTCAGGTTGGAAGGACTGGGCACCTAACCTTGCACTTTAGTGACTCGCTTCCTTAAAAGAGAGCCCCTTTCGATCAGCTCGCTGGTATTGTACACTCTGGCACATATTCCATTTCAACAGACCTGCTGCTCGGCAACTCCAAGCATTATTCCCATAAGTAGCATGCACAAGCTAGGTAGTTACTTTTCCATATACACAAAGATTATATTTACACACATTTGCTACTGCTAACACACCAAGTTATTTCCATTTATTACTGTTTTTCTTCCCCCTATGTAACTGGATCCAAACTCTCATTAAAAACACATCAGAGATCAGAAAAATACATTGAATGTTCTATTTTAGGGAAGCAGAAATTATTTTTAGATGTAAATTTTTATTTTCATTTCACTTAAAATTACCACACTAATCTACCCTGCAGCTGGTGTCAGGCAAAGGGATACTTTAGGAAGAAAACCTTGGTTTTTATATATAAGCATCAAAGCTTATATACTTAACAGACAAAGAAGAAAGCAACTGTTGAATTCCTAGGGAAAGCTGCTCTCTTCGCTTTTCTTCCAGGCAACAATGAGCTTTAATGAGCTACTAAACTAATACAGGACTGATTTTCTAGGGTTCAAATAGCCAGTAAATACCACTGAAGACATTTACAAGTTATCAGTAAGTTAACTGAATTATAGCACAGGTTTTAAGTAATGAGTCACTGAGATTTGCAGTGATGAGGATGATGACTTCCAGACGAAGCAAGTTTTATTCTATTCCAGTAACCAGTGCTGGTAGGGGAAACTACATACAAGAAAGGAAAAAAAAAAAGAGAGAGAGAGCGCGCACATGCAACCCAACACTATATAGTTGCTTGAGACTTAAAATAATAAGACGTAATAGGAATTATTTAGCAACATGAAATTAAAAGAAGACATTTATTATAATAAATGTGRCTCTGAAATCTCAGACTTAACAGCAGAAAAGATAAAATTCCATTAAGCACTGAGGTGCCCATCCTGAAATTAATACACAGGGAACGATCGTGAGGCCAAAGCAGTGCCTAGCACTAGAGGGCAGCCTAGACCTTGCACCGGCTGGCTGGGCTAGCAGAACCAGATTCACAGTCCCTCTCTCGGCATCAATCTCAATTCCTACCCTTCTGTACTGGTAACATCTCCAAACGCTGTATTTCAAAGCCTTAGTAAGGCCAAGAGCACTGCGCTGTTACTGAATGAACACATTTCTCACTACAGTAGTAATGTCTAAAGACCCTTCTGTATGAGATTCAAACTGCTAGCTGTGTACACTACCACCTTGCACATATTCTTGTGGTTTTCCCCCAACCACAAAATCACAAAATGCTTTTCTAAGGGGCACTGCTTATTAATGCCCATTAGGAGAGGAAAGTTAAGCACAGAGCAGCAATGAAACACATGAAAATGCAATTCCAGCAGCAGAATTATAAAACTCCTGATAACATTCTTCAGTCTAACTACTTATTATATAAACTTTGTTAATGGACTATAACTTGTTTGTGTAAAAATAAATCAGCAATTTCAGGACAACAGATACGGAAAGCCAACTAGCAAAGAAAGCTCATACACGGACAAGTAAATAGAACTATTTTCATAGATTTATTTGAAAAATACTTACAAAAGCAAGTATGTTTGACACTAAAATAGTTAAACTTATTCTGTGTTTACATTGGTATAATTAAGCGTGCAGCATTAACAGTCTTTTCTGTTTGAAGCATTGTTAGTTCGCCTTACGGAAGTGAGGAAATTTCTGGTTTACTGATGAACAGTGTCTCCCTGCCACTTCCTCAGCAGCAACCGGAGCTGGCATCTGTGCCCAAGATCTCAGCACACTGAACACTGGGTTGGCCTCACTAACTGCCAGCCTGGCAAGCGTACGTTTACTGGAACCTGGAAGGTAGGTCAGTTTGTTCCCCGAGTAAGGAACAGGAAGGAGAGGAAAACAAAAGGACTAATTTTGTATACGAAGAATTTACTAAAGCTACATTTCATTAAAGAGTCCTTAAAAATGTCCTTTTGGCCATCCTCCTTCAAAACATGCACACAGAACTTACCCGTAACCAATGCCCCTTAAGCTTATCTTTCCTATAGCACTTTTTCATTTTGCTAGGAGAGGCTGGGACTAGTCTAGCTAAGATTCCCCCCTCCAGACAGCAGTTCAGTAGTGTCAAAAAGAAACAGAGTGCAATTAGTTTCCACGTACTGTATAGCTACATTTTAAGACAAAACTGGCACAGATACCGACTGGAGAAGTTGGACATCTCCTTACACGCTGCACCTAGGCGGCAGCTACAGTCTGTTCACAGCGGGATTCAGCAGGGTGCAGGGGTGGCAGGGACCTCACCAGCCGTTCTTCTGCACGGTGCCAGTAGCTGCTGCTGCTCGGGCCAGCATGTTCCTGTGCGCCTCGGCAGCAGAGGACAAGGCGCCATCTACCACACGGAGGGGCAGCCCTCGCCTCCTGCYGGGCTGAGGGGTATAGCTGCTCTGTCGCCAGTCTTCGTCGGGGGGCATGTCAACTCTCCTGGGGCCCGGAGCCTTGGCGTAAGAGGGGGGCACGGGACAACCTTGAGGATCCCACGAAGGCTCACGTGGTGTTCTTAAAGTGCTGTAGTCCGTGCCGGGCGGCAGCCTGCAGCCAGCAGTGTAGGACTCGAGGCCTTCCTGGAGCCTCCTGGACGGCTGGCCGGGACGCCCGGCCCCGAGCGCCGCGCGCTTCTCCGGCAGCGTGGCCGTGCGCCTGGCGGCACCGCTCGCGCTCCGCCAGCCGCCGGGCACGCCGACCGCGCCGCCGCCTGAACGCGCCTCAGCAGGAGGCTTCTGCCCCGGGGAAAGGGCGCCTTTGGCTGCGCAAGGTAGCGTCCCGTAGCTTAGTGCCACACCTGGGTAGTCTTCACCTTGGAAAGCTTCACCCCTGTCAGGCACAACCAAAAGTTTCTGGATGATGTTCTTCTGATCTCCTGCATGGGGTAGGCAGGGAAGGAAAAAGGGAGGGGAAAAGAAAAAAAAAAAAAGAAAAAAAAAAGAAAAAAAAAGAAAAAAAGAAAAAAAGAAAAAAAAGAAAAAAGAAAAAAAGAAAAAAGTTTACAGGGTTATATTTTATTTATTGCAGTTTCCTCACGGAACACAGGTGACAGACCAAGCTAAACTGAATCAGTAATGCTTGGTTAGATGTGCAATTCTGAACGCAAACCAGCAGCATCTGCTCTAGCATTCATTTTCTCTACATTTCTCTTTGCCCTGYGTTAGTCACAGCTTCACAAAGAGATTTCTTTAGCAGCAATCTCTCTGGTGTTATCAAAAAGGAACCCATCAAAATAATTCAAAGCTGGTAGATCAAACTGGTTTTGATGGCCTTCACAGGGGAAATATTTTTCATGCAGACATTGAGACAGAGTATAACTGTGTGTAACCTACTGGAATTAGTAGCTTGTGGAAAAATTCTGTACATAACTACATAGTGACAAGTTTTACTACTACTTTTACACAGAAGAAAATGCCTCAAAATTGTGAGTATGATTTTCTTTTTTAAAATAGTCATCATGTTTCCGTACATATTATTCCTTTCTGCTATGTCCACTTAGCATAGCACCAGTGAACATCTCAAAAGGGACAGAGAAGGAGAAAAAGAATGTGATTCATCCACAAGTCTGGAGGAATTCAGGTGAACAGTGAAGCATCATTATGAAAGACGACACCCGTAGAGCTGTATTTTAGCAGTATTTCTGATTACAAAGGAGGATGAAAGGTCCTGTGATTACCTGACGGTTTACGTGCCTTGCCCACCATGCTGGGCATCAGAACATCATGGGGTAGGTGTTGCATCTGGTTTGGGTTGTGCTGGGAATCATAGGGAAACACAGGAGGATCATGGGGGAAAGGAAAGGGAGTGGAGCTGGAAGAACGGTGGCTGGTTTCCATTGGCATTTTCCTTGTGTTTGGTGCTTCCTTTTATAAAATGAGAAAGGAGAAGAAAAAAAAAACTCATAAAATAATGAGTAAACACAAAGCTGGGTTGAATCAAGCAACAATAGTGGTGATCCAAGGACAGGGAAGAGTCACTGGAACAAACTCATGCATCTGTGTGTGAAAAAATAAGCAACTCCAGACACCAATAAGGCTGTCACTACAGTGGTAAGCTCCGTAGGAGGATCACATTGACTGACTGGAAATATACCATGGAACAGGAAGAGAAGGCCTTCATATTTTGGTTCACACTGGTACATAATAAACAAGATCTTGACTTGAACCAAGAGATCTGAATGGTTRCAAGAGACCATTCCTATCAACAGTGTCTGTGGTGGGCTAAGAATCACACAAAATCACAGAATGGTTGAGGTTGGAAGGGACCTCTAGAGATCATCTAGTCCAACCTCCCTGCTCAAGCAGGGACACCCAGAGCACGTGGCACAGGGAACCTTCACCAGGGGGACCAGTGGTGAGTTAGGTGTTTTAACTTGTTTCTTCCACCACTTCGTGGTATATGTCAAAGCTCCCACTAAAGCAAGCTGAGCAGCAAATAGCACATATTCAAGTTTATGACTTTACATACTCCTGGCTCATGGCACTCAGCACAGCTGGAAATTTATCAAGCAGTCTGAGTAAATTATTTCTCTTTTTTCTTTTTCTATGTTAATTATGCAGTTGGTTTCAAATCAAATCTTAAGCACAGTAAAAAATTAGATCCAAGCCAAACCTTTCTACTAAGATCTGGCTATGTTGCTAAACACCCACAATAATCTATTATCATTTTCCTCACTGACAATTTTAACTTACACCTAAGCCAGCTTAACAAAGATAACACAGAAAAGCCAATTGCTATCTATTTTTAGTTGCTTCCTATATATAATTGGCAGCACTATGCACCATTACTTAAATTACCTTTTATACTTACTTTTACTTGCTAAAATTGCCACTTACTGAACATACCCACAACAGAGCAGAGATTCACATGACTACTGTAATCGAGAACTTTACTGAAAAATAACTCTAAAGTCAACTGAAAAAAATGTTTTTATATTGGATGTCCTTGCATTGGCAAGTAGACTGACTTGCATGTTAGCTTCAACTAATACAACTTTGCAGTGAGTCCTGAAGGAGATGTTATTTAAATAAAAGCTTGTTCTTTTTCCCAAAAGAACAAAAAAAATCCATGAAGATGTTTTCTTCCACACCTTGCTTATCATCCAGTTGTCTGGTGTCTTATTTATTATTTACTAAATGCAGCTAGGGAACACAGGARTGCTAGATGCAGCTGATGGCTAGATGGAAAACAGCACATCATTCTACTTACAAAACTGTGAGAAGAGACCATGGTCTCTTCTCTGTTTGTGATGACTGTCCCACTGAGACTGCGAGCAATGCGACGGAAATTCTCTGCACTGTACATCTCCTCCTCTTCTGGTTCTTTACCTTCTCTGGTATACATGACCTGCAGACAATATCACACATTTGAGAAAAAGATCTCTCCATAATATCAGTTTTGTAGAGTAATTACTGGGAAGAAATCAACCTAAATCTAATGGGCTACTGCAGTGAAATTCTAGGACCATTTCTCAAGTCCTTCATTCAGGTCTTAGCTCGGAGAAAGAGAAGCTAGCAATAGCTAAAAATTTCTTTTTGCTATTGTTTCTGATCAAGGTAGACTACTACCCAACCACAGACTGTAGCAGGTACCAAATTAAATCCTAGTTAGTGCTTCAAGAAACATAATGAAACAGTCAACAAAAGAAAAAAAAACAGTTCCAAGGCAGATGGTGATAATAAATAATTGACATGTTGCAATCAAAGCAGTTCACGATAAGAAGTTTGAAAAGCTTTGGACCCTTCCCTCCCTAGCGTGTCTTTGCACTGGGATGTCACCTGGGAGACAGAAGAGACACTGGCTCCATACAGAGTGCGCTCGATCTCTGCTGTGGGRGTTTTCGAGAGGCCCATGCCAGCCGCTCCATGCAGCTTCTTCACATGTAGGTTGACAGAGGCTGGGGAGGAAATCAAGTGGCATGGTTAAATTCCAGGCTTGAATTAATGTTATGATACAAGTTTATCTGTCTTAGATCTGACTCTGGCATGGAAAGACTAAACAAACAAACTGAGAGGTAATTAGAGATTCTTTTAACATGAACACACAAGCCAACCCCTCAAATGCCCTAGGGGAGAAAGTGTGTCAGGATACGGGCTCCTGTTTCACTTACTCCCCGTACAGGCTCCTAGGGAACAGTTATTGAACTAACAATAGAGCTAAATATGGTGTCTCATTTACTCCAAGTAGCTTAAGTTACTGGTCCCCATCCCTGCCCCTCCTTCCCCCAACACTGCTTGTTCCCATCCARTGTTACGGTTTATCAGCCATTGGTTGTACCAGCTAACTACAAAAGTGTCATTTTGGCATGAAAACGACTAGTTACTTCCTTTCAGAGCAATCCCACTCCAGTAGTAAACCTGAAGCTTCTTAAGAAATATATGGAGGCAGATCAGTGGCCTAATTTAAAATAAAAAGAAATAAATAATCCATCTCAGGGAATCTATCCATAAACCAAAGCTGAGGTGCCAACAGCACCACATCATCTGCACTGAGGAAGTGTTTGGAAGATTCTCTCTTTGGTCCTTCAACCCTGGTGTAAATCTCTAGCAACAGAACTGTGACATTCTCACCATGATCCTGAATACAAAGGTCTGACAAAAATAGTTGTTGTGGGGCAGAAAGCTGAAAATACATTTGCACATGAATAGATAATCCAAGACAAAACTGAGAACGTGCTTTCCCAGATCCACTTGGGTAAATATCACCCAGTTTATTACAATAGATGAATTGGATCAATTCAAAATCCAATCAAAATTTTAACAGAATTTTCAGAAACTAGGAAGAAATATTTGAAAGAYAGAGCAATCCAGAAGCAGAGATCTCAACTTTAGCAGAATATCTGTATCTCATCCCTCAGATATGATGTGGACATCTCAGAGAGATGTCAACATAAGAAATGCGGAATTTGATGAGAGATCTTTGGCTCCAGTTAATGCTAAAGCAACTGGATTTTATCCTGTTAAATATCTAGACAGAGGTTTAAAATCTGTGCACTAAGAATGAACACCTAGAGACCTTATCCAAGGCCATACAAGAAAGCACCAGTGATGTCAGATCTTGCCTCACCCTGAAAGGAAACCAAAGACTGTGTATGAAAAAATGACCTTCTTCGGATGTGTTATCTGGTCGGTCAGTGTAATGCAAGACAGAAGAATTTCATTTGAGCTATTGAATAAAACCTGTTTAAAAAGAGCTTACTGCCAATATCTCCTCTGGTCACAGCTTGGCTACATTTGTCAGAAGAGATGAAGGCCCCAAACCCATGGGTACAGAGCGGGGAAAAACCTGGCTTGTGTATATTTTGAAAAATATGCATCACTTTGATACCCATAAAGTTTTGCACAGTCTTGTATTTGAGCACAAAACAGACTGCTGGCACCAGGCTCTAACCAACTAGATGGCTCCAGCCATGTCGGAGCTGTTCTCACCAAAAGCAACAGAATATTTCAGTTACTTAGCACTTAGATTACTTGGATTAGTTGGTGCTTTTGGCACCAGAGCTAAAAGGTGGTAGTCTTCAGCAGTAGAGAAAACAAAAAAAGAAAAAAAAAAAAGTTCAGCTCTAACAAATCTGGAAACACTTCTAAAAGTTATTCCAGGTACAGATTAAATCCTCACATGTTAATCCATTAAAATTCACAAATATGGAGAACATTCATTTCATCAAAACATCAAAATAGCTTAATAAACTGTACAAGTGATACAGGACTTTCAGACAAAACTGAGTAAACTTGGCCTAAACAACTAGCTCCTTGCTCAAAACCAGGGTCCCTTATTCCCTTGCCCTTATACAGATATCTCCTGTTTGTCAAGATCAGTGACTCTTCTGCAGCCTTCCCAGGCAGCACTAGGACAGCGCTTCTCTATCTCTATGGCCAGAAAGCTTACAGAAAGATTCAGGTTGCACGTTCTGAAATCCTTCATGCCCATCTGACGGAGCTGCCYGGAAAAGATCCCTTCACCTAAGAATTGCATGTGCAGGCAGGTCAACCAAGAAAAATAGCTGCAGAGTTCTTACCTGGTTGGTCAAATGGATACCTAGCACTGTCCTGTCTTCCCAAGAGAGGCCTAGCAGCCTGAGATGCCTGCAGACTAGTCTGATAGAGGGATTCCAGTTCTGAGAGCTCCTGTTCTGTGTCTTGATTCCACTGTGGATGCAGATGTACTGGGATCCTGCTCATGCCATCTCCAACTGCTCTCTGCTCAGAAAGGGATGGACTCCTCCCAGGTACAGGAAGCCATTCAGCATTCTTAATATCCTTCTGAGAACTGTAATACCTAGTAACGTTATTCACCCAACAGTCCACAGGCATAGAGGCAACCACGCTACTAGTAGCTCCATCATCCCCCTGTTCGGTTCCTCCATCATGACAGCGCCTTTCCAGGTAGGGTGCAGGGTCTGCTATATTCTGTCCACCTCTTCTACACAGCTCTTCACTGGGAGAACAAATACTCTTAGAAGCAACAAGCTGGGCACTAAAACCCTCCAAAGAAACTACCCCATCCCTAATATCCACAGATGAGTGCAATTTTTCAGAAGACTGGTTTCTGTTCTCTTGGCCTTGATGGTTTAGCTGTCTGTAACCAGAGGGTGTAGGGTTGATGAAAGATTTTTGTATTAGATTTGGAGACTTCTCATCCTGACACACTGCAGCGATCCAGCCTTTTTCATGGGTACCTTTCCTCTGGGAGACCATATGCATTTTCTGAAACTGCTCTGCCAAGGAGCGAACATGTCCCTTGGTACTAAAAGGCTCAGATTTGCAACCTTCTGCTGTGCCATATTCATGCTGTGAGGGTGACAAAATCTCATGGCTGTTTGCTCTGGAGTACTGATTTGTTTGCTGTAAAGGATCCAGGGAGCACTGCAGCGAAGGGGATGAAGCTGCAGGGCTCATTGCATGATAGTCCCCTAAGTGATCAATGCTGGCCCGTACTGGAGAGCTGGCAAGTTTGGAACAAGGACTGTGCTGGCCATCTTTTTCAGGAGATGCTGCTTGTGGTGGATGTGGACAAGGAAACAGTGTAGGCAAAGACCCAGAGTTTACTGTGTTAGCCTTGGTTGTGTACTGAGGTGTGAGAATAGCTGTTATGTTATGAACCTCTTCTAACTTGCTGCTGCTGCAGCATTCCCTATAGTCTGTTGGCCCTGTGGCTGTGGTCTCAACAAATTCCACGCTAAGGTGGGCATCATGCTCAGTTCTTGCAGATCTCTCTGCCAACCCTTGCCTATAGGGAAAAGAGGGAACTTGGTCATGAAAATCAGCAGAAGCAGACTGGAAGTTTGGAGAGGTCCTGTTGGATGGATTGCTTTCAGAAGGGGGCAAGGAGGAAGACTCTGGATATAATGATGAGTGCAATTCATGGCCGGAAGCAGGTGGGTGGAAGAAAGAACTGGACCCAAATTCCACTTCTTTGTTGGGTTCCAGTGGTACCTCCTGGCTCAGCAGTACTTGGAGCGGGCCAGTCTGTTCACTAAAAACACACAGAAGGGTAAATGATTAGCAGCAGGCATTGCTTACGGAAGCCCTAGGATGCAGGGCTTACACTATGTGATACACACCTCAACACACTTTTCTTCACCTAGCTGGATTCTAGAGAACGTTGTATTAATTCAACAAATACATACATGTTAGTCCTTTGCGTCCAAGTCTAATTTTCTAATTGAGCTGTTGAATCCATTTAATATTTGAAGAGTATATTATAAATATGTTCTTTAATAACTTTCAGTATTCTTGTGTAGCACCCTAGGCACTTTAACCAGCAATCTGAGTGCATGGGTAGCGATAACTAAAAGAATAAGCACCATTTATTAAAAAAGGAAAAAAAAAAAAAAAAAGCCTTCCCAGCACTGATATCTTAGATATCCTTGCAAACATTCTGGACAAGTTTAAGACTTGAACTGACATTTCCCATAAGGTCCTCTCTCCAGATAATTCTGTGAAGAATGAGTTGAGACATGGAAGAAACAGGTTGAAATCTCTCTCCTATTATCTTTATATTCTCARCTTTGAAATATTTATCCAGCAAGTTGAAGTTCAAGAAAGTTCAAGTTAAATACATAACTATTACTTCATAATAATTTACATTTTAAATATATTTTCACAGAACAATTGATGATCATCTTATTTTCAAGTGTAAAACAATCATGTCCTGGGGTCACACTTGTCCTTGACTTTTTTTACATTTAATTGGTATTTTAATGTGTGGACAGGAAAAAAGTAGCAACAAATTCAAATGCCCATGGAAAAAAATGGAAGGATACAACAGCTCACATGGAACTTAAAATCAGTCCAGTTTTCCAAACTGAAAACTTCTGATACTCAGAGCATTGCTTACTGCTTATTAGAGTAACACATTAAACAAAAGAAAAAYGTTTGCAGAATCAACAGTGCACTCAAAAACTCAGTGCAATTATTTTTGAAGGATAAAGGGATTCACCTGTAACTACAACCTCATTGCTTTGTTTCCTCCTTGAGATGCAAAGGATGAAAGTTACCATGAAGATCTAGTTGGCATGTATAGCAGAATGACCTTGTCTGTAATTGCAAACCTTGCACTGTTTAGTGTTATTTATATCAACACAAGAGTAAAAACTCCGGTTATGAATAGATTATCTTTTCATTGGCTACAATATTAACAGTTGTTTCAATAGAACTTTCTGCAAAAGTAATGTTCTTTTCACGGAGCAGCAGGCAGCAAGTTCAGTATCATCAAAATTAGTATAGAAAGTTCTTTTTTCTTTCATATTTTCTTAGAATCTGCTAAACAACATAATTGGGGCTSTGCATTTCTCCCATAAAAGAGGATGTAATGGATCCCTGATTGACAAAAAGATCAGCACTGATTACATATAATTCAACTATTGCAGCAAAAGAACATTTTGAACTATAATTTGCACACCTGCCAGGCTAACTGAACTGAGGTATGTAACTGTATGTGGCATTTTTAAAAAAGGAGAAAAAAGGGTTCTCACATGAGATGTCATCTAAGCATCTGATGGCACAGCACATAAGAAAGGGGAGAGGAAAGAAAAGTAACAAGATGCAGCCTACAAATTAAGTAGGGATAGTCTAGTGTTTGGAGGGAATGGCATGGGAAGAAAGGAAGATTAAGATGCATGCTAAGGAGGGTAGGAACAGAGGATCAGTTAGAGCAGAGAATTCATTGTGCTATAGTTAAAATCAGTATGGGAGAAAGAACTATGAAGAGATGCTGAAGAGGCTGCTAAAGCYAGGCTACAGGTGGCTGGGAAGCACAGAAAGAAAATGAGGAATGACACAGCATCAATGGGAGTAGTCAAGGTGATGAGGATCTGGATCCAAGAGCTGCACCACTAGCAAAGTGGAGCAGAAAACGATCAACATATCTGACCCCTTTCAGATTACAGGGCACTAGCACACATGTTGATTGCTGTCCCCAACATAAAAGCTGCTATCACTCTAAGACTCTTTTTCTGCTTGAATCCTGAAATTTTCAGCTGTTGATTTTCAACAGCTACACGTTTCATCTTAGCACATACCTCCCCATGCAATCAGGCTATTACCTCTCAAATGCACAAAATATCGGTGCTGCTGGGAACTGTCTGCTAGAATACACCATCACAGAGCACGTTTCCAACACGTGCACCGTGAACTATGCTACAAAAATCCAAAAGAAGAGGGGGCTGACCCTCCTAAAATGTGATTTAACCTACGCAAAACAGAAATGAAGAGTAACGCCATAGGATTTGGGCTACCCAGGGGCATATAGAGAGTTCACTATTTCTTTCCAGACTGTACTGCTCATGGACACAGGTCTGGTCTAGGTGATTTACTCGGACTACCTTGTAGACTGGGCCATGGTGCCACCCTGTGGTGGGTGGCAGGTTGGCGGCGGCAGCGGCTGCGATGGCTGTTGGTGCTGCATGCGATCCTGGAGGCTCCTGGCTTTTCGGATACTGATTTGCAGCTTCTTATCGACTAGGGCTCTGCTGTGAGTGCTAGCGCTGGCATCATGCATGGCAAGTCTTAGTTTAGCTAAAATGCAAAAGAAAACATAGCAGAAACAAACAAACAAAACCAGAAAAAAAGGAATAAAATTCAAAAAAAAAGATAAAAAGATGCAGCAAAACGTAAAATATGGACCATGCAAATATTGCCATGAAAGAGTTCACAAAGATGCTGTTGTTTCCATTAACGCACATTCAGCTTAGCCATGTGTCCAAACAAGTTAATCAAAACTAAACCAAAATGAAATTGCAAAAAATTATTTATGTTTCAGCCAAACTTCTCAACCCCCTTACACAGACTCTTTCCAACCCTACAAAAATTGTACTTCATTCTTCATCTACACTTCTCCTGGATCTGAGACTTGCATTATACGTAGAAGTATCCAGCTGGGATCTGAAATCCGGCATGCATCTCGTTGGAATGGAAGCTAATAAATATAGCTTTCACAACAGCAGTACATTGCCCCGTAATCTGCAGCCTGAAAAAGCCAATTTCTAAATGCAAATGTGCAATAACTACCGGCTCTGTCTGGGACTCTTCTCTACAGACAGGCGGGAGCGTGGGGTGAAACAGCCAGCCAATTGTAATGGAAAAGACTGAAAATAAAATGAAATCACATAGCACACATTCCCAAAGGTCACGGAATGCACTTAGCACTTAAACATCCTGAGTTTTATTCTCCTCGCTGAGATTTAGGTTCAGTGCAGCTCATTCCTTTTACTCTAGAGCAGGCCACCCTTTTCTTCCTATGCTGCAACCTCCTTGAGGACAGGGGTTTACAGTCTCCTTTGTAACTCTGCATAAAGACTGMGGAAAATTGTGAACTGAGGGCACAGTGGCAAGAGGAATTGCCTACCAGGTGCTTAACAAAAGGTACCTATTAGCATCCAAAGGGACACATCAGTAATCCAGTGCTGTTGTTATCATAAGCACTGAACTGAGCAACCTAAGGGAATGCTAACACAAAAAGGAAAGGGGATGAAGGGAAATGGGACTAAAACTCTCCAAAGGGAGCACTTGGAAAATGMAAGTTTCTGTCTTTCAACACTTCCTTAAGGACCAGCAGGATCCCTATATTACCACCTGAGCACTRAAAGCAATTCAATGTGACAGACTTTTTCTTTGTGGTATTAGTAAAACAGTGAGAAGCGCAATAGCTTAGGCAGTTAGGGTTACTTACATATAGCTTCATTACAGAGAGCCAAAGCTGCAGCACAATCCCCCTTCTGCTCCTGATTCAGCGACTCTTCAAAGATCGAGTCTGCCTCCTGCATGGACTTCTCAAAGCCATCACTCCTCCCTGCAACAGGCAGCACCCTTCATTTTGTTTCCGTTCTTGGCAGTGCTTGCTTACCCTTAGCCCCATCGGTGAGCACCACATTCCTCCACACACTAAGTCACCTGGTGCGTGACCGGCCTCTCACACAGGCTGCGAGGTTCTTAGGCCACCTACTGTCAAATGTAAACTTCACTAAGCAGAAGCGCAAATTGAGCATGGTTAAGTCACACAGTGCAAGCTGAAAATTTTGTGAGCCTTTTTTTTCTTCAAACTTTGTTTATTTGAGAAGTTGTACTGACTTAGTATGTTATTTTCAACAACCTAAACTGGTACTAAAGATGGTATGGACATACCATGGACTCAATTTGTATGACTTTGGTCAAGTACAAATTGGCTTGAATTTATAATTATATCCAAGCCAAAACGAACTAGTAAAAGAAATAGAGCAGGTCAGGGCTTTCCCTGAACTGCACCATCATGAGTCCCCTGACAAAAATCATCCCTCTYCTCTCTAGATACCCAATTAGTTTCATACAGAAGAACTTAAACCCAAAACACCTGAGATGCTCAGGAGTCAAGGCTCACACTCGAGTATGAGTGTAAATGGCTGCAAGACTCTTTTGCAAATGTGTTTTAAGTGCATACACTCACTGCTGAATGAGGCTGACAGAAAATATGAAAGCCCAATGGTCTTGCAGCTTTAGGAGGAAAAACACAAGGGAAAGGAGCTGAGAAGAAAGGATTAATGGTTTAGAATTCTATGGCAACAAAAACAGTGCTGGAGAAAAGGATACATCATCCTTGGACACAGGAAAAAAGAAAAAAAAAGAAAAAAACACCCTCTCCTGGCCTAACAGCAACTGAGACAAAGAAAATGCCTAATCTTGTGTCACTTACTAGGCATTATGCAAGTCTTGCAGTAAAAATGTATGAGATCAAATGAGGCAAAGGGAAATAAAATTTTTAAAAAAACAGCTTTAAGTTCTCTGTTGCATTGGTAGAGAATGCGATTAATTTTCTCCATCTAAAAGAAAATACACTTTTTCAACTCGCATAACATAAGCTATGGCCTGGTGTCCTCATGCACACAGGCAAACATGAACTTTCTTCTTCCTCGATCCCCAAAGARCTCTTAGGAGAAAAGCAGATACTGCAGAGAGAAGGGAGAGTTGTTAGAGCACAGAGTCAATCAAGCAGCACCCTCAGTTTCCAAGACACAGCTACTGAGGCTTCTAAGCAAGGCAAGTTTAATTGAAGTTAGCTTTCTTTGCATGGATTTAGCAATTTACTTGAAGGAAATGAGTCACCAATGTTCTGGAGTTCTGTGTACAAGCAAGCCTTGCAGACAGCCAAGCAGTCTCATAATGTTAAGCTATTATATCTCTGACTGGGGTGGGAACAAATGAAGATCTTCCCATCTCCCAAGTCAGTGACTAATGAACTCCTCAAACCTCCCACTAGAATCTTCTTGGCTTTTAAGCATTATTCCAGTTCATTTTCTCTTTAACAAGGAAGAGCTCAGCAATCTTTGCTTCTACCGGCTACTCAACACTAAATCAAAGGGGAATATCTTTGAGATCATCTTGTTCTCTCTGGTGCAGGGGGAGTGGGGAAGACAACACCCTTGAGGTCAATTTTGAAACTATTAGCATTTACACTACAAAAATAAACACTGCTRTTACTTAAAAGGTATCATTCTGCTTTGGTAGGTCAGATTTTTTCAACTGGATCTCTATGCTAAACTCTGTCCAGATCTTCAACATTAGTCCCAGCAGCAGAAATAAGAGCAGGAACAAGCAGAATTGATTACGTCAGTGATGCTGCCAGAAAGGAAGGTAAGTAACATGGGGGCCTAATCAGACAAGCTCTGCTGATAGACCTGGAGAGCCTGAGAAGTACAATCTGCCCTACTGTTTTGTTCCAGGAGGTTGGGCAAGGCAAATCTGGCAAAATCTGGAGGCCAACACTGGTAACATCCCCATAAAAAATGAAGAGGTGGAGATACAGTAGAAATACTCTGCAAAATGTAACTYGACTTAGCAAGGCTTTACTAAAGTAGTACTTATCATTTAAATCTCATTTAACAGTCTCCAGTCCTCAAATACTGTTTTCTGCATATTATAGAATTGACATTGATGTTTTTCACTAAGCAAAGATACCAAACCATGCTTTGGGGGAGGGAGGAGAGAGAGCAGACAGACAAGTCCAGAGGTTCAAAAACCTTCAACACTGCAATCCTGCAAAACATACTCCACTCGAAGTTACCCTGATTCTGTAGCTCATCTAGATCCATGAACCTGCTGGGGCGAGGATTAAAGCCCATGGCCGCCTCCATTTCCTTCTCTCTTTTCCGCCGCAGTTCTTGCTCCTGGGCTCTCCTTGCCACCTCCTCTTGTAATTCATCCAGTTCACTCTTCAATGGGGCAAGCATCTCACCACCTTAAATATACATATATATATGTATTTATATAAGTATTTGACAGCAGAAAATAACAAAACTTTATGCTGACTTAGCCATATTTTATGGAATTATGTCTTTAATTCCATTTTGTGGTTTTAAAGATCTCACTAAGTATTTCAGGCTTGCACTACACACTTCAAGTGGTCTCACATGACTTAGTTGGATGTTTAATCTACCATCAGCCTAGAAAAACTTGAAGGTTTGTTGGCATGTGACAGTTTGTTTTGTTTTCAGACTCTAAACTGGATCTGTATTAGGAAGCTTTATTGTTTCACCTGTACTGCTCTCTGATAGCAGTAAATGTATTATTGCATACCCATTCAAAAAACAAAACAGAAAAAAATACAATTTACATTAAGAACAGCAGGCTGACAGAAAAAGATCACACAATTTCAGATTACAAGTTTTGCTTTGTTAGATTTTACTTTTAAAACCCAGAAGTGCTTATGAATGTAACTACAAATATCTTTTCACAAATAATCAAGATCATCTCTACACTAACTTAAATGCCTTAACTTTGAGCATCATCTAGGATACAGTCTTGATATCTGTRAGACCTGAATTCCCATCAGTAAATGTTGGAGCTGGTTTTATCATCAAACCTCACTGGAACTCACTGCCGAGAAAAACAGCACTGTCCAGCTCTGAGCTACTGCGAACAGCACACAGCCTTTTCCTACATTATAAAGACACTATTAGCTTAAATACACAAGAAGTACTGAAAATGCATCTCAAGGCTGATTTTTTTTTCAAGCAAATGAACATGCAATACCCAAGAAAACTGAAGTGTTACTGTTAGAAGACCTCCATTTATTATAACYGAGCAAAGATTTGTTTCCCTTCCTGCAAATCTCCTATTCATTTACCGGTTGCATCTTGCACACTTCGATGCGAATTTTACCCTGCTGTGCCCGAGTCTGCCCTTGTCCCTGCCCCAAGCAAGGCGGGCAGCACTGGCCTCCTCCCTGCCAGTGCCTGTGGCCGCGGCGCGGCAGCAAAGCCGGCGGCTCCCCTGCGGCGCAGCGCGGCCCCGCAGCCGCTGAGCCGACAAACTCGCAGCGGAACAGGCAGGATCCCTGGAGGAGACAAGCCTACGGAGATGCTGAAACCTTGAGGCTTCTTCCCAAGCCTGTAATTGGTACGGAACGCTATGCCAAGTTAGTCAGATCATTGGCTTTGGTTTGTAAAAGGGGTTCCAATCTGAATAAGTAAATGAAAAGGGAAGAAAATAATCCCCTGTCAGTTGCACAATGCACGCTCCATTCTCACTACAATTATGGCATGTATTCAAAAAGGCACCTCTCTTCCTCCTTTGCTCCCTTCTCCTTCCCCACACAATCTCTGGAATAAAATATTTGCTCAGAGGGATAAACAAACAGAATGCATGCCTGCAGAAAAGCTCAGCTTTTGCTCCACCTTCTTGTAACAATTATCTATTCTCATTTCTGACAATTTTGAATTTTGTATGCCATTATGAGCTTCTTTTCTGGCTTCATCAGTCCTATTAAGTTTTTATGAGTTATTTTGGGGAAGGTATTTTTCCACTGATGGAAGAATACTGAATTATGGAAAAGGCTAGGAAGGACAGCTCTAGTTTACCAGTGAAGTCAATGTTCAAAACAAGATGTTACAGTAAAATGACCAAAGGAATATTCCAATAATAATTTTGTAATCCTTTCCAGTAAACTGAAGTCRCATTTGCAAAGCTGTATTATATTCTATAATGTTTCTTTTCCCTTTCCAATAATTTCACTGTGAAGGTTCACTGTACAGAAGGCCAAGAACTCCTCCAACACAATTTATCTTGCAGAACATCTGCTGCTGAAGCAAGGAGATACATCTTACCATTTCCAATGGGGTGCTGGCTGTTTGCCCAACTCCCAGTTGATGAAGCAGACTCCACTTCCAAGATGCTGCTACTGTGAGACTTGGGGATGTTACGCCAGGCAGGAACCAATCCACCAGTTCGCTTCATATGGACATCCCTCCAAAAACAGAGCAATTATAATTCATCATCTTATTAGCTCATCATCATCTTTTCAGGAAAGAAATGAACTCTATGTTTCTCAATATGATAAACATATTTAAACCATCATAGCTTCATGGAAAACATTATAGGTTACCATAGGAAAACCTTGGGAGAAACAGGGGAAGATAAAGGAAACAGGGGAAGAGGAAGAATCTAAATTCTTCCATATGTTCTATTTTCCATATTTTACTCTTTTTAGATACTGGAATCTCTGCAAATTTCTAAGTGTAAGAAACAACTTCCTCTCTTTAAAACAAACTGAAATTTTCAGTCTGTATTGAAGAGAAAATAAAARTTGTAAAGTCTCCTGCACCATTTATTTTTTCTTGTTCATTTGCTACATACCTTAATCTCACCAAAGCATAAGAAGCCACAAAGAGCAGCAGCCTGGTAGGCATGCTCCCTTCAGAAGGGCATTTGCAGCTATGCCACTCTTTGCTATTTACCACATGTAGCATTTGCTCAAATCCTCACAGTTGACAACTGTGGAACTTGATGATAGTCCCTACTAAACAGGGCTCTTCAATTTCCTTGGGAGAACATGAGAAGTAGTGAATATTAAAGACATACTCTGATAGCTGTTCTTAACGGATTACTGGACCTTAAAAATCACTGCTGCAGCCTTAAATAAKCTTAGATTGCAATAATTATCAAAGCTAAGAAACACACTGTGCTATATTTTCTGCATACAAAAATATTGCAAGTGTCTTGAAAATCTTCAGCRAAGCTATTAAACTGAAAAGGTCAAACAATGATTTCCCTACAAGACTGCCCATTTCTGATTTTGAACATGGATCCTATTATCAAAAACTTAAAAACAAACAAAAAAAAATTTTAACTTGAAACAAAAGATCAATCAGCTATCCAGATATGAAGTGAGGTTTGCTATTTTAGTTGAATTTTTAAATCGTATTCTAAAAGTACTAATCTGTTTTAGATGCATCATTTTAGCTAACACTTCTCATTCAACTGAATTTCATTTTTTTCTTCCCATTGCCAATATAGCAAAATGAAAAAGAATCAAACTCACTCAGATTCCTATTACCATTCTATTTCTCTCCTGCATAATATCCTGCATCACAACCCAGGATCATCAGGTTAAAAAAAGACAAAACAAAAAGACAAAAGAAAACAAGAGACAAAAGCAACAAAACAAACAAAAAACCCCCACCACCCTCAACAGTACAAACAAAGATACAAAACTTACACAAATTACATTTGTTAAAATCTACCTGTGGGTGCTGGAGGTTTCGGACAAGGGCATGTCCAGACTAACTGGGCTGTTGCTGTTGCGTTCACTGCTCTCATAGCCGGACTCCATCCTCTGTATGAGATGAGGACGCTGATCCCCGGCGTGCTGCGTGCCCCGGCCGAGGACACCCCGCTTGTATCTGGCGTTTGACTGGCTTGATCTTGGCTCTTGAATAGCACGCTCCTTCACCTCGTTTGCCATAAACTCTTTACCTATGAAGATGAAAGAAAAGATCTTGATAGAGTATCCAAACATCACTCCAGCAAATCATCAACTCATATTTTAGCTTCTCAACTGTGCTTAAGCCAGAAACTTAAGCCTTTTGCTGATTTTCTGTTTCTTCTAAGTTCAGGTAAAAAAAAAAAAAAAAAAAAAAAAAAGAAGCATTCCTGATAATACTAAGCAATAACCTATCCAAAATCTATTTCTGAATACCCTATTTAGTATAACTTGTCACATTCAATTTATGTAGAAGAGTATGAGTCGAATCTGAAGAGAAAAAGAAATCCCTTTCTCCTTGTAACAACTCACATTTATGTAAGAGGATTTTATAGTATAGCTGTGCCATGAGTCTTTCTGGTTTATATTTGTTACTGTATTCTGTCATACCTACTACAGACACTGCACTTTTTGCATTGTTTATTTTGCCATTTACAATTTGATGAGGCTAACATAACATTAGTCCACGTAAGACAGAAAAAGTGTTTTTTGTTCCTCCTGCCTTTGCTGATTTTAACCTGTTCCTACTTCCCTCCTTCTGCTTTACCACCCTTGCTTTCTTTCCTAGAGTTGTATTCTCTCCCCACTTGTCTTCCCTGTATGTTTTGCTTTATCCTTCCCTGTTCCCTCCAACCTTTAGCTCCTAGTCAGTTGTCACTTGTCCCTCTCTTTGTCCAGGCCCCCAGATTCCTACGGCTACATCCTCCATTGACCACAAACCTAATGATAGTCACGCAAATCTCTTCCTTCTCATGCAAACTCTAGCAAAAACTTGTAGCAAACAAGCAATGGCACTCCAATAACAAAAGAGCATATATATAACATGAATTGGTAAAGGTCTGCCCTCCCCCTTTACAGCTTCAGGAATAAAATTCCTAATGATAGGGAACAAAATACCGCAATACATTTTGCAGATTGGAGAAACGGGAACTGGGCGCTGTGGAAAGAGAGACAAAAGACGCCACAATTTGGTTCAMAAATTTCACTACCTTCAAAAAACCACAAAAGTGAGGACAAAGTCTCTAGATACAGGCTGAACAGCTGCTACAGTGCAAAATGGTCCCACATAAATTACCCTTGGCTGTCAGGCTCTTACCTTCATGAGAAGCACTCAGCACTAATGCATGAAGCACTCATCTCCCCACAGCCTGACATGCCATGCAACACTTKGATAAGCCAGATGAATTTGAGACCAAAGAAAAGACCATTCCAAGTGATGAACTTCCCAGACACTTAGCTGTCTAGCCCCAGATTCATTTATGCAGTGCAGAGAGGAATGCTTCTCCTAAGTATGGAATTTAGCAAGCGGGAAAACAAACAAAACTATATGGRAACACGTATACCTGCGCAGAAACTACCCTCAACAGCCTGACCCATCACTCACCTAAATGCCACGTTCAAAACATCACTTTCCCATTCTACYTAAACAAAATTAGATAGTGGGAAAATTATGAGTTCCACATTAAAATACTCTGAAATCAACGTTTCTTCTCAGTCTCTTACCTGCATCTTCAGAGAAGGGGCTAAGCTGGGTGTAGCCACAATGTTTTCTCTTGTCCTTACTGAAGATGCTGTCTATGTTCAGAGACTCCCTTTTGGGTCTCCAGGTTGGCCGGTACTTGCTAGATGAGCTAGATTTAGATTCACTGCTGGTACTCTCCATTTCCCAATCTTGAGAATGTGCAGAAAGGCTYTTTGAGGGTCGTGGCTCGGTCTGATCTATACCGCTCCCTCCACGAGGAGAATTCTGGTTGGTTTGAGAAAGCTGCTGTGGTCTGCTGTGGATCATATTGCTCACTGTTTCTTTAAATTCCCTCAGTCTGCTGGTGCTGCTGGATGGTTTAGGGGCAGTTCTGGGGGCTTGTTTCTCCTTCAAGGTTTCTCCTGCAGTTTATATAAGAAATAGCAAAGCAACAAAAATAACTTCAGATTAAACCAGCAGCCCTATTCACAGTATCTTTCCACAGATCTAGAGAAGTAATACAAGCAAAGAGACCAAAATGAAGACACAGAAACAAAAAATAAGAGAAATGCTGAAAAACACTCAGAATCTAAAAATCAAGCAGAAAGAGATATTGACATTTGAAATTAAAAAAAAAATCCTCTTGCCTTCGCTGTGGTATCCCGACGACTGTGCCTCATCCCCTTTTCGTCGAGACCGGCTAGAACTCCTTTTGCGGTCTGCCAGAGAGCCCTTTTTGGAAATATGCCTCTGATTACACTCACTGTCAGTCAGGTGTCCTGAAAGCACAGAAGAGCACAGTTTAGATGACAAGAGCCTTTGGACTCGGTGTTCTGCGTGCTAAGAATAGTAGGACTCTCCTGCTTCCCAGGAACAGCAGACCCTCCAATGCTAACAGCCATGTTTTGGTAAATGAAGCTTTTCCTTTAAATAATGCGGATCCAAAAGTTTTAGGGTTTGTTCTCTCTTTTTGTTTTGTTTTTAAGTCACAAAAGAGCCATGAAGCCCCTGCAAGGACTCTGACTAAGGAGAGAACTCATGCATAGGGACAAAAAGAAGTTGGCTGCACCTTGTCCTCTAGCACTCCAAGGACAGCATTTTTTTTGCCATCTGAATGCCCTTAGAGCTCTCACCAGCAYGGCCACCAAGCTCCACAGCACAGTCTGCTTGACACTTGTCTGCTCGGTGAGGGCTCAGACACCAAGCAAGCTACCATGTAATAACACATTACTGCACATTATCAGCTGCTCAGCGCTATCCATCTGCACCTAGAGCAAATACTAAGTAACTGAAGTTATTTAGTCTGCAATGAAAGAGCCTCAGTCGTCTCTCGAGGACTAAGCCAGCTAATTCACATCTGCCACAAGCAGAATACACACAAACCATCAGCATGATTTGGCTGCCACACAACCCTGTTCCCTACCACAGCTGATGTGCCCAACTCCTAATATTCTCTCTTTTATGGTTCTCACACATTCACAGTCCTAAACCTGCAAGCACAAACACAGCGGTGACTTTACTCACGTGAGCAGTCCGAAGCAGAGATGCGGGATAAGAAGGGAATTTATGAATAAGCTACAAAGAGTTTTCTCTACAGTTTACACTACCAACTTTCACCTTGCACAGGATGATAACAAGTGAAGATCTCTACTAACCAACAACTGATGAAGAAGCCCCAGATGACATAGGTGGTTATTCTAAGCCTGACCCTTTTTTCTACTGAGGTCATACCATAAAAAAAACATAAAATCCTTCAATATTTAAAGCAGATTTTATAAATAATATCATAACTTTGAGGCATATTAAAAAGTAAAAGAATAATTCACTTCAACTACAGTTGCTACAAAGATATAACAATACACAAGCGGGAGGGAATCCAGTGAACAAATACCAAGCAACACAACTTGTGTTTCTATTCACTTSTGAAATGGAAAGCAATTTGTACTTCAAGCACTTCAGGAACAAACAGGCTCTATGAAAGCAGAGAAACTAAGGAAATAAGAAACGTTGGCAGTAGAGACAGGAAGATGAGCAGCATTTAGATGATGGCATGAGTTAGTGCTTTGGGAGAAACTTTCTTCCATAATATGGATATATCTTTTACAGACTGAAAGAACATATACATCTTGTACCTTCTAGAGGCTCCCATCATTAATTAGAAAGTGAACTTATGTTTCACTTGAGTGTAAAACTTCTCTAATTAATATTTTCCCCTCACAGATTTTTCATTCTGAAAGGAGGGCTTAGTTAGCATCAAGCACTCTACAGAAGCTGCTCTAACACATTTACTTCTGCTGGAGCTAAGGCACTCTACACATACTAGTTTAAAAGCCCAACTTGTGGAATAAAAGCTGCTAGCTTTATAAGCACTGTCTCCTCTTTCCACAAAGTGCAAAATTTGTCATTTTTTATGCTGAACATTTCATAGCCATGGAAGAGATAACAACTATCAAAAGTCTGCGGGACACAGGCTATGTTGTCTTTACCTGAACCACTCTGATACAAAGTCTAATACCAGGTCATTCACAATAGAGGAATTAAGTCTCCGGCAATATTAGCTAACAGTTAACAGCTGAAATAACTTTGACTGAAGTAACAAGCTTGAATTTCTCTCCCAGTGGCCAATCACACACATACAATGCATCCCTTGCCGAATGCATTACTAAGTACCTCACATTCAAGAGATGAGATGGCTTCATAAGCAAACAGTAATACTTCAAAGAAAGGTTTGCTTTTGGGGGAAAGGTTTGGTGGGAGAACAGGAATGAAATCAAATAGGTTAAATGAAAAGAGAGAGAGAGAAAAAAAGTCCCCTGCCCGCACACTGAGGTTTCAGGTGTATGAGTAGGGCAGCCAGAATACGCACATTTTTGTCAGCAGCAGAGGTTGGTAGGAGCAAGAGAAGGCTGATGTAGCCACTCATAAAGCCCCCATCCTGAAGCATCCAGGTACCTGTGGTCATACAACCCAATGGTGGTCCTTCCCAGGAGGACGATATGATGGGATAGGGGTCCATACAATTCTGGGCTGGAGGAGTCGGGTAAATGGCCATTAAAAGAAGAGTCCTGCTCTTGCCCAGAATGATTCAATAGCAGCAACAGTTGACAGTGGTCAATGGATGGCTTTTTTGTTTGTTTGTTTTAATTATAGATCAGTACTTGACGGCTGAGTAGTTGTATGAGTTGGCAGGCTGACTTTTGGGGCAAGATGAAAAGGGTAGGAAAAGAAAGGGGAAATGCCCAGAGAGGTGGCTAGCTAACAGGGACAGACAACCTACAACAAAGGTTGAATCAGGGAAGATGGGGTTGACTGAAATTGGGTGGTGTAAGATAGGTTAGAGCTGAAGGGAATAACATAGGACAGAATCAGTAGGAGAAGAAAGAAAAAGAAAAGGAGAAAGTCACTAAAACATAATGGAACAAAAAGTTACATGCTGAACTTCATCTGTGCACATGCTGGCAACCATCCCCCTACCCTCTTTTTCTGCTCTCTCCTGCGTGGCAAGGCAAGATTTTGCAGRGAGAGGAATCCCAATCCAGCGTTTGTTCCACTTCTCAAACTATATAGCTCACGTTCCTCCAGCATTTTCAGGTTTTTTCTTYTCAGTGCTCTTAAGATCAACATAAATGCTGTTTGCTCATCACGTGAACTCTGTTCCAACTCTTTTCTTCTTCACACTATCTAAAATTGGAAGCTATGGTGCTAAATATTTGATAAAATACAAAAATTATCTTCAAGCTACGTAAAGCCAAGGATTATCAGTTCCTAGAACCACTGATAAAGAAGAGTGCTGAAGCAAASGTATATGATTTTTTTCCAGGTTTCAATATGAAAAGTATTTGTACTATAGATTGTTTCCAATGCACCAGAGATGCACATATTGCTACAAGACAAGACAGCAAATATTTTCCAAGCAGAAGGACAACAACCTGGTGGAATAGCTAGAGGCATTGTTTCAACAGACAGCTTTTCTTTCAATGGTTATATCCTCTTAGAAAGTCTTTCTAATTACATTTTTGGCTAAATTTAGCAAGTCACATTTCTGATGCTTGAAAAGCTTTGATCTTAACTGGTGTACTTTTTCAAAGATGATGCTGTAAGAAAGCACTAAATGTATAAACAGGCTCACTGGGGTCACTGCACATGAATAATAGAGCAGATCTAAACCTTCAGGTTTCCAGTTAACCTCTTTTCAACTACGAAGTCTTTGGGTACACTGTTCAGCTGCCTGAAGGAACATAAATAGATAAATTCTCTTTCCATTATGGAGTCTCATTTAATTTGTCTCCACAGCACAGGCCAGAAACCATCTTACGCTCCTTGCCAGAGCGTAAATACTCSCCAGTAAATGCTACCAGCACCCACTTACATACAAAGTCCCTAGGGACCAAGTAAGGGAGATGCAGATGATGGGAGCACCCTTCCCAGACAGTCCCAACTCCTGAAGTGAGGTAACTGCTCACAGGTGAGGAAGCAGCGCACGCAACACGCACTGTTGACAAACTGCAATGGCACCATATGATGGGTTCCCACTTACACAATTGCAGGTGCCAGAACTTCAAAGAGCAGGTGGGATTGTGTCCAACAGTAGTGAGATATAATAAAGACTCAAGGAAATRTATCTATTTAGATTTTTGTCTAGGTAGAATCAGCTCTACCAAAGCTCATAAAACATTTAAAGTTACATCTGTCTTTGTGAATGGTTCATTACAAACGAAACAGAAAACATTTAAGAAACTAAAAACTGTTTACTAGTCTGTTCTGGGTTGTATGTAAASAGATTTTTCACTGAGCTCCTTTGTAATTTTATTTATGGTAACAATTACATCATTACAGTGGTATCTGCTACCTGTGTCCCTGCTGCTCTGTGAAGCTGCATCGTTCTCCACGTTGTAGATGACCGTCCCCTGCGAGTCAGAAGAGAAGTGACTGACCACAGACTCGTGGTGTGCCTGTTTATTAGGATAGCTGTCTGTAGAGGAATCTGTCCTGGTGTCACTGGAGATGGAAGGTTCTCTCCCTAATGAAGGAAGTAATGTCAAATTTCAGTCTTTCTCTGGGCTAAAAATCAGGAGAAACTAAAAAGAGTCAACAGGAATGGAATACAAGAAACTAAAAAGAAATTTAAACAGAAAAAACACAGTATCAAATCCACACATAATCAGATTCAAGAGGGTTAGAGCTTATGGGAAAGGTTCTTTAGTTTGAAATATTTTCTTGAAAAAATACCTTTTGTAAACCTTTTTTTTTTTTTTCCCCTGCTCAGGCAAGATTTATAAAATTTATCAAACACTTATTGTGCAAAATTAAACCATGTCCATCAGACTGTTTAAGCAAACTTTAGTACCTCATGGAAGTTATATGAAAGTTTTCCAAGTCTGCAAAATGYAACTGAAATGTGAAATTCCCTGCCCCACAGTCAATTAAGGCTAATAAGTCAGTCAATTTCCAACTATAAGGATAACAAAAACATCCTAAGTTACAACAGTTAATTACATTTTAACTATTAYGAATCAAAAGCCTATGTAATAAAACTTTACACTAAAATTTTATGATGCTACAGCAAAGAAACATGTTCTTTCTTAAGAAGCTAGCGTTGGTGGTCTACACTAGTGGGATAGTGAAACAGATAAAAAATCATGATTGAATCCAGGTACAGTTCTTCCTAAACTCATTCAAATAGGAGAAAAATAAAATTTTTAGCTTCAACAAACAATAAATGTGAACAGTTAAAAATGGATGTTTTATGTACATGATTCATATATTCYTGAGGCTATTCATTTTATATTTGTGTCTCAGTGGAGAAAAAAAAGAAATTAAATAAAAAAATATTACTCTATTTTGAAAACAATCAGYCTGACAGTGCTTCACATTTTTGGTGGGAGCAAGTCTGGTAGTTGATGTTCTACTTAGGAAAGCATAATGACTCCTTAGTTAAAAGGCTTATTGGTCTAGTGAGGTGTAGAACACAGTTGGTAGGGGACAAGAGAGGGAATGGTCACAGAAAGGTGAAGGCAGGTAAATGGAATTGGTGCTCTGGGTCTCCTGAGTACCAGAAAACAGCTTGTAAACCGATTTCTCTATTCAGCAGAACATCAACAGTATAAAGAGGAGTTGTTTGCACTTTGTGTCACTGTATTTTATACCAGCAACTTTGACAAGCTTTCCTCTATAATTTGTGGTATTAGATCTTGGTGTGAAGAGATTAAATTATGAGATGCCCTTCATTAAAGTTCAGGAACAATATCATGAACAACATAAACTAGGTACATTTCAGTCATTTCTGAATGATGCATTTGTGAATATCTGATAACATTGACAGGACGAGAAGGAGCTGAGCTGCACTTTGCAAGAAGTGAAGGGGTTATTTTGAAGAAATATATTAGGGTAGAACGGTCTTTGAACCACTTTCTTCCAGTATTGCATTAGGCTGCCTCTATGCAGCTTTCAGAACTTTTTCCATTCAGGTATTGATGTCAGCTGGGTATCCGCAAAGCTGGAAAATAATCTCATTTGTATTTCACAGGAAAACATGCATGGTTAGTTTTCTGCTGGCACTTTGACCTACAGCATCTTACAAATTCTCTCACAGACTCTGTTATCAGCACTGAACACTGCATGCTACACGAGTAAGCCCTGAGGGACTCACCAAGGCYACTTTGGAGATGAATGAGCAAGTTATTCATTACAGCCTTCTGGGTCACAACTAAAGGAAGCAGCTTTTTGTATTTTATACATATATACATGCATCTATGTATGTATACATAAAAAGCTTCTTGAAAGTCATTTCAGGATACAAATAATACACTGCAGTGACACTGAGCTAGAGAGTTATCTGTATATTGTCTGCAAACCAAGCAGCAGAAGAGCAAGGGTGGTTCACAGCACACACTGACCAAAAGGTTGTCGAGGTGCTCACTACTGAAAGACAACACAGAGGGCCGCTCTTCTCCACTCTCCAGACTTCCGAGTTTTCTTCTGAACAGGAAAATAAGTTTATAAATTGCAAAGCCCCTTTACCAAGTGACAAGTGGAAGCTGTCTTACTACTGTTTCTGTTTGCATTTATTTTAAGACATGCTGCAGATTTCTTTCATTCTTAATAGATTTTCTGTTCATAACTAAGGAGGCAGCAGATGTTCTCTACAAATTAATGGACCAGGAAACAGAAGGACAAGGCAGTTAGCTGTGGCCAGGAAAACCATAAAATACTCTTGGAATTACACTTGTATAAATAAGCTAAATTCCTGGAAGAAAGATGATGTTTTTATGGTTTTAGTCTTGTCTTGTTTTTCTTGGCAACCTACAAACTCATCTTTTAACAGGATATTTCCTGTAAACATCCAAAAATACAAAGAATCTTTTTTTGCAAAGCCATTACAGTATAAATTCACACTCAGCTTCCAGGAAGTCTAAATATGTTACAGTCTTCTTAGATGTCAAGAGTTATATGTCTACAGACATACATGTTTTTGACAAAAGAGAGAGAGAGAGACCACAAAGTGTTAACAGGCAAACATGACCTAAGAGCATAAGCCCTTGCCAATTCCTTTATCATCAGTTTTGTGAAAATCAGTTCTTATCTGTTCTGTTGCTTTACCTGAGTCAAAGACAAGGGAAAACATCAAGATAACCTGGTTTTCTCTCAGATTAAAAAAAGATCTTATTTCTCTCTCTTCCCCCAACACATCCTTTGACCACCCTACCAAAGACTTATTTATGAAGTGGCCTTTATATTTCCTTTTCCCTAACTTCCCTCCTGGATTTAAATCTACAGCTTCCTTTAATTTTCAAATATTTATGCATCTGTGCTCATGTACCCTTGCTGTTAAAACCACTGATGGATTTATGAACTTGGTGCCTGGAGTCATCATTTATTGTTACACTCCCTGTCTACCCCACAAGAAGTCTTTAACTTCTTTTTCCAAACTTTGCTGGACAAAAAGTTTACTATGCAAACCATCARCAAGGCCTTAGTTTGAAAGAGAGAGGTTCAAAGATGAAATACCAAAATTTCTGCGCAAAATTCTAGATCGGTTTTGACAAGTGACAAAGACCCTTGCTAACAAAATACACCCAAAACCAGAGGAAAACTTCTCATACAGAGCACTGCAGTATGAATGCACAAGGTATTCAGGTCAGGCTTACCCGAGTCTTCACTATCGTAGCAGATCCTGCTATATGGCTGAAAATCCACTTGAGGGGGCAAGTCCTGCATTGACACTGGAGTTCCTCTTGGATCTGCATACAGCAGCAGCAAAGGCTGATAATGGCCCTTAATGCACTTTGTCACAACATCTTTCCATTTTGGACCAATCTGAATTAACAACAACAAAAACAGGCACAAAGGAAACAAGACTTTCTGTCATGAYTTTTTATAATCAGGTCTTTTTTCCTCCTACTTCTTTTACGAAGATTGACTTTTCACTGATATTTATTATTCATTCCTTCCAAATCCAGCACTGAGCAAGACTCACTTAGAAAACTTTAACTGTAGGTCACATCTTGGAAAAACACTTCAAGTGGAATACAAATTCTAAAATGCAACTGAAAGTACAACTGTCTCTTAAGGTTGCATTTTCATGCCTAAGACTTTATTTAAGAAAAAGGACATCATCTGGTCAAGAACATGGTCTTAGAACACACTGGAACCAGCTCAACTGAAAATTAAGATATTCACCATGTTACAATTAAGAGATTTACAATTTCTGTAACTACAATAATAAAAATTATTTTTTATTATTTATTAATTCAAAATGTAACTACAGTAATATTCCTCCATCTTCAGAGATGTTATTTTTCTCCATACAAACCTTTTCATCTTCTGAAGGGTTTCAATATTTATTTTCTCACCTCTTTGACATGAGCATCATCAAAGTACATCCACTTGCGGATTTTAGTTTGGAAGAAGAAGGTAGAGTAATGCTTTCCATAGTAACAGATCATTCCCACCAAATACAGCTCTGAATGTTTTGCTCTGTCATCAGTTACTCTGAAAAAAAGCTTCAAGATAAGAAATAAGAAAAATGAAAGAAGAAATTAAAAAGATGTCCTGCATTTTGCACAGTGCCTGGCTTTTTGAAGGCCTCAGAATGCTATAAAGATGYGACAGCTATTTTTACTTTAAGAGATGGAGAGTATAAGGCAATAAATACTTAACAAACCAATGTTAAAGCAAAACCCAGTGACATAGACCAGAAACAGTTTCTTGCCAACTCACCAGACACTCAAGAACTGAGCCAGTCTTGAAGACTGTGGCCATCCTTTAAGGAAGGCATTTACAACAATGACATAATCCTATTTTAGAACCTGAAGCATGCTTATACTCTCTATATACACTTATTGCAATTTTAGCAAAAAGAAATTCAATGCAAGAGCCACAAGAAAAAAAATTAATACAACAGCCACAGAGGGGAGAAAAAAAAAAACCCTGAAGACATAAATAGGAGTGCAGAACTTGGCACACAGAGAAATTGTTTTCTGACTTTTTAAACGGCTACATTTTATTTAAAAATTCACTAGACTCATTTTAATCCATTACTGCTCTACTAGATCATGTTGTATTTAGCAGCCATGCTTTGGTTCACAGCCATTAACTTGCATTGTTCAATTTCATTACGCACTAGTGCATAGTTTGGATTTTGTTTCTTTTGATTTTTGGGGGGGACAAGGCAGGGTAAGGCAGGAGGAATGAAGTATCTCAGYGCTCCAATAATAGAACTGTTGCAATGTGGCATACCAAAACTTTATCCCTCAAAAATTCAGCTAACATAGAATGAGTAAATCCTCCARGAGACAGATCTCTGGAACCCAAGTACTACTTAATTTAACCTATCATTCAGTCACACGATGCCAGCCACCATCCCACAGACACTGCCCTTTATTTATAATTTCTAAGTGGAAAGACTGCATCTTCAAATTAAAGAAGGATTTAAATAAGTTAAACAACAAACCAGGCACAGAGGACCAGGGGCGAAGAGAAAACAAAACACTCACATCTCCTAGTTTAAGGCAAGTGCCCAGGCTGTGAATAACATCCTCAGCAAGATCAGAGTGGTCCGAGTCCCAAACCAAGCCTATGGTGATGATCTGCGGGGCGTTCATCAGCACGCGACGAATCCGGATCTTTTCCCCACAGTTGCTCTGAAGATAAAATAAAAAAAAAAAATCAAGGGTTTTGTTTATGTAGTTTGATGTTAGCTCAAGGCATATCCACATTTCGAAAGWATTGTTTGCACAGACGAAGTGATGCAATACAGCTGCTACAGCATGCTCARTGCCAGGAGAGCTGCCTTATGCCACAGATGAGGAACAATAGCGAGGGACTTGGCAATGATGAGCACTAAAGTGACCACTGTGGATTCTTCCTCATGCTACTGGTGGWACAGCACCATAAGATGCTTATAAACAAACATACATGGAAGAGCCCAACGACATTCTCAGAAATTAGAGGAAAAGCTCACTCTCTTTTGATCAGAATCTGTGAATAAAAATGTCGTTTACAGAGCTAGATGCTTTAAATGGTTGGGTTTACTGGCTCTCAGTGGGCCAGTGGAGAGTTTCCCTCACTCTCTAGGCAGAACACTTACCACATATGAAAACCTGCTTATGAGGCCTACAGACTTACAGTGGTTCTTCCAGTTTGTTACATGTTGGCATTACGGGGCCTCATTGAAGCCTCATGAAAAGAAAGTTAACTAAGTTAAGAGATTACCACTGTAATCTTAGCAAGCAATTAATTATCCTTTTCTTTTTTTAGGACAACAGCTATGACCAGTCCCCACAGAGCAGTTGCCCACTGCCCGTGGCAGGTCACATAGGCACCTCTGCAAAAAGACTCTCAGCACAAAGCTTTTTTCTAGAGTAGCCTCTCCTGTCTACAGAGAGGAGTTTCACAACTGGATCTAATCATTCCTGACAGTGCCACTGGGGAAGAGATCATAAAGGACTTTTTTTCTCAGCAACAAGCTATAAAATCAATCAGAACTTCAGCAGCAATAATCAAAAAGAGGTGAGAAAAGAGGAAAAAAAGCTTGAGTTTGTAAACTACAAGGCAGGGGTGGGGAGGGGGAGGAAGAACAAAATATTTTTACAGGTACAGGAGCGTGGTGTTTAAATATAGACATGAGTTTTTAATAATAAAATGTCTATATTCATACATTTTATTAGTACCATTTGAAGTACAAGTGGTCCTGTGGATTACCTCAAAAAAGCAAACCAATCTCACTTTAAAATATCCCTTCTCCTTTGCTCCAACAAGCTAACTAGCATATTCTGCAAGACAGAAGGAACATGTAACCCCRACAGAAAGCCTTGCCTCTCCTGCATGACTTTTAGGCCACTTGTAGCTAAGCGTCAAGAGAGAAAAAAAAAAAATGACAAGAAGAGTCACAAAAAAGATTGACAAGTACATGTTGATATAACATATTAATTTTTTTTTTTCCTCCCTACTGTAAGAAAACCAAGCATACTAACCGGGCAGTTTCGCAAGTCTCCCATAGTGCTGGCATTCTGTAACAGCTCACCAAACATATCTGGAGTGGGTTTCTCACGTCTCTCCAGCATGCATATAGCTTGATTGCTTCGGTACAGAGAAAGCATGGAAAATTTAAGTTTAATAACAAAATCAAAAAGACAAAAAAATATATCTAGTAAGAATACTTAAGTTTCATTTAAATTTGATGACAGCGAAGCTTAAAATGCACAATATAAAAYTGATTGAACATCAGCTTTTATCACTATTTTCCCACTCTTTTAATAAAGAAGATTCTGATGCAYTATGTCTCACCATAATCTAAAGAAAAACTGGAACAAGAGGGACTCTCAGGTAGCAGTTACAAGGAATGCAACCTGGGTTTATGGTGCCCTTCACACTGGTCAAGCCATACCACTGGCGACAGATTTGCAAGAGAAGAGCAACTAGCAGTTTCCTAGACAACCTTTTCCAGCTCTGCAACAAGTCTTTCAACTAGGAAAACAAAGAGAATTTCTCACTTCAATATAAACTTCAAAAAGTTTAGATTTCTGCCTTCGTCAGATTTAAGCAGCTTTTATATGAGCAGCCATCTACTAAGAGACATATACTTCTCTTCCCTGGAACGAAGGCACAGCTCCTACAGGGCTAGGGCCACCAAACTGGAGGGTGCAGCCAACAGGCTGCAGGGCAGGACTGCTATTCAGAAGGACTGTGCCAGGCTGGAGAAAGAGGCTCTTGGGATCTCAAGAAGATCAATAAAGAAAAACACAGAATCTTGYACTTAGAACAGAGTGCGCTCAGTGTGGAAGCACTGGCTGAGAACTCAGTGTCTACAGAGCAATTTCTCAACCTGGGGGCCAAGGCATCAGACCTAACTCTGCAGCACATGCTCACGGGGATGAACATTAACCAAATCGTGGGCTTTAGCACACAGGATGGGGGAGTGATTCCTACTTTCTGCTAACTAATCTAGATTATTGTAACAAGCTTTGCACCTCTCCACCTCCTTTTCAGTACAAGAGAGATATGGATAACTGGAACAAGTCCAGTAAGATGGCCATGCAGATGGAGCAGAGGACTTGCAAGGAAAGGTTTAAGAAACTGTGTTTGTCTAAATATAGAGGAAGGCAGGCTAAGCAAGAGAACCTAACTGCTGTCTTCTGCTGAAGAATACAGGTTATAGAGACATAGTGCCAAACTCTTCATAGTGCGTAAAAGAGAAAGGAGGAGAGGCCATAGCTAAAAGCAGAGGGAAGGGAAATTCTGACTGGATGTAAGGGCAGAGTGGCTAAGCACTGGAACAGGCAGCCCAGAGAGGTGATGGAATCTCCATCTTTGTAGGTTTTGAAAATTTCACTGAACAAAGCCATGAGCAAACTAATCTAGCCTTGTAATTAGCCCTATTTTGAGCAGCAGGATGGACTAGACGTCCACCAAAGGATCCTTCCAGCATAAATTACTCTGTGTATTTTTTTTTTCTTTTCATATCTTGCTTCTCAGGTCACCAAAGCTGGTATTAAAGATCTTTTTAAATATGGATGAGTCCTTGCCATCACAGTTAAACAGTTTCAGAAATATCAACATGGACTGATGCTAATCCGGTATCTTCTGCTCTACTAAAGCCTCATGCTCACTATCATAACTAGCAATCTTCTATCAACTATGAACAAACCATATTTTTGACACTAAATCTTGTTTAGTGAATGTCAGAATGCCACTATAAATAAGACAAGTTGTCTTTCCTGCAAAAATCTGAACTCACCAAAGTGAGGTTGTAGAGATGTAATGTACCATCTGGATGAAAGGCAGTGGGTCAGAGGTGGCACCACAGCTAGTGCAAACACACTAAATAAAAAGCAATATATTGACAAGGTTAAACTGGTATTTCCACAACACAACTTCTGCTCACTTTTTTTTTTTTTACCCTGACAATACGTGTCTTAGGAATGAAAATTTGAATCTGAGAATTGGTGATGTGTGAAAAGCAGAAACTATTACCTCACCTGTTCAAACAAGGTCATTGCAAACTTCTGATGGGAAACACAGTGTGGTGCAGTGCAAATATCTTCCTTGGTCTCATCTGCAATGTGGAAGTGAATTCTCATTAACAGGTTTTCCTAGTCCAAGAGAGAAGAAAAAGCGAAAAAGCATTAAAATCAATTGAACCGTAGACAAGAGTTAATTAATTATAAATCACAAGAGCCTCTCACATGCAACAAACAATATTCCATTGTTATTTACAATGACATAATGCTCTTGCAATTTTGAGAGTTGCTTAGGAAACAAATAAGTTGGTATTTCTTTGATATGAAATCTCTACCATCTCTCCAATTCGAAATGCTACATCAAGTAATCAAGTATTTTATTTACCAGCACAGCTAAAGGTTCTATCACGAATTTTTCAATATCAATCAGTTTAACAAAGTACAATGGGCACTGCAGTTCTGCAGATTTAAAAACAGCAGGCTGCCACTAACTACCAGTTAACTGCCTAATTCTTCCTCATGGACACAAAGTAACTGCAATCAGTTTCTCTCTATACCCTATATATTCTAGTCAGGTCTTTAAAATATTGCAAGTAATCTAGATGCTAACAAGAGAAGCTGGGGACACTTAAATGAAGAAGCAGATCATATTCTGCAAGAAACAAAAGCATTAAACATTTTCTAGAAACTACTTCAGACAATTCTATCTGCTTTCATGTCCCCGGGAGTTCTTGTTCTAAGTAACCTCCTTTTCCTCCCATGGTTGCCAAAATGTATCTGAGGGTGCCAGAAGTCGACTGTCACCTCTTCTTGCAGAAGAATTTTCATTACCAGCTTGAGCTACCCAGATGGTTCCTAAGTCTGAACTAATCATGTCAAGATTAATTATTAGGCAAAACAGCTCTGCCCCAGTACCATTTTATTTGAATTTTTAAAATTTAACCTCTTTTTCTTCTATTGGAAAAAAATCTCTGCCTCTAGAGCCAAAAAGGTTAAGTGGAAAGCTATGGAATTACCTCTGCCACGAAGCTTAACCACAAAAGAAAACTTKGTTTACCAGTTCTAACTGTGACTGTGCCACTATGGCTAATCCAACACAAACATGCTTGGGGGGGGGACCCTTACTGCTGTATTAGAGGGACTATTTGGATCARCATTCTAGAAACCAGAACTAAACCAGACATTCCCATACTCTACTACACGGAGACTTCTGTTCTTGTGTCTGGCTGCGTACAAATGTTTGCCAGAACTGTAATGACAGGAGCTCCTAGATAGGTGGAACTGTCCTCCTATGCATGTTTSCTATGTAGTGCAACTGTCAATTAGTAGGTACAGGAAATGAAATATTCTTCAAGGGCATAATGCTTGTGAGCTTTCACTATCACACATCATATCAGATTTCTGCCAAGCATGGAGACTTTATATACACAAAATTCCTAACTACAACTGAGACTACAAGTGCAAAGACTTGCAAAGATTTAACTGAAAAAATGGGTAAGAGTGGTATTTTTACTTCCAATTCACTAGTGACAGTTCTCAAAGCAAAGAAACACTGTCTAGTGAGGTTTCAACCTCTGCCTGTCAGACCATCTCTCRGTGATACTCACAAAACACTCAGCAGCATCATCCATGATGCCCAGTTGGAAGCGTTGCTCATCCTGAAATGTTTTGGCAAGAGCAGTGCGTAGGGCATCGGAAGGCAACACCTTTTCACTGCTACATTGAAACTGGTTGAAAATACCCTATGAGAAAAAGATCAAAGAAGTTTGTTTACTCTATTTTCCCCACACAAGACACAAATAATTTGAAAGCAAACAAGCAACCCTTAACTCATTTTCATCAAGCAACACAAAGAAATTTTTATTGTACAGGGAATACAAAAAAAATCCTAAATGTTCTTCACTTGAAATGATACCCTCTTCGTGGTGTTCTCCTCCTTTTCCTCTCAAAGAGGACACATCCAAGGAAGAGACGGTGGGGAGTTCAGAGTAAGATTCTCTACGTTACTGTCCTTGGGTCTTCCACCAGATTCAATTCCTGAAGTACACACAATGGACACCAAAACACTGCTCATTTATTACTCCTRTCTCCCACTCTCAGACCACATTTTCACCTCCATCCCAGTCCCCTTCTTGCACATACATGCTTTCCTCTTCCAGTTAACTCTTTGCAGACRTTTTAGCCTTTAGCAGCCACAACCTGCTGCTTGCAATACGAATCTATCATCCATTTGGTCCAAGAATCATCTGGTGTCTCAGTCGGTGCACCAGCACAAAAATGCTCCGCRTGAGCAGTACCTCCTACGTACGGCCAGCTGTTCTGCTGCCACGAGCCTGCAATTTCACGCCTCTAACTCACTGATTATCTGGGTACTCATTTGTAAGGAACAATTTTTCCATACAGACACACATTACCTAGAAGCACAGGTTATATGCACGCTGGTTCAGTACATATTCCCAACTGACTTAAATCTGCTTTCTGACATAAATATTTAGCAAAAACAACTTTTGGACAGAGTTTTTTACCTTCTTAATTTTCACTGTGTCTTCCTACAACTGGAATGTAACTTTGTATGCAAGCTCATAGTTTTAATTAAAAACTTCTGGTTCTTATCTCCATACAAGTCCATACTGTCCTCTCTACTACTCGATTCTATTTTCTACCTCATTTCATATGACAAGCAACTATCTTCACTGCAGTCTGTCTCTAATTCTGCTTATCTCTTCCTTGAAAATTTTCTTCAAGTCATGCCCAAACTCCATTCTTATTGCAAAAAAATATATATATACATATATATATTTATCATCATCAACTACACAGCACTTGGCTTTTCTGCATTCTAAATTAGTCTCACATGAGTCTAATATAAGAAAAACAKTCTCAAACTGGTTTACAGGTTTGGTTTTCTTTCCAATTTATGAAGAGAATCTGTACTGACGTTCATCTCTATCACTTCTTGCTTTAATTTTGCTCTAGCATTCCTAGGATTGGTAGTCACTGGAAATAATCTCCTTTAACTACTCTTATTTGCTTCTTTAATCAGGAAATGAGCAGATAAACCTAGCGAAAGTTTGTCAAGCAGCAGCTCTGAAGAAGCTGAAAAATGCAGAACAGAGTTGTCACTAGAGAGCCAACAAACCAACCTCAGTGTCTGCTCAGGTTCTGCCCATAGGAATGCTAGAATTCATAGCGCTGACACATTAGGAAACACACACAGAAAGCCCATTCCTCTTTAGTGTTGTTTTTATCTGCACAATTCAATTAGTGCATTTATTACCGTATCAAATGATGATAGGGAAATTGCAGTGCAATAAATCTTGTGCTTCATAAAATTCAGACAAGGCTGCTCTCCTCAGTTACTACCTATCTCTTTATTTACAAACACGTGTGTACATAAAAACGATGAAAATAATGCTGCCCATAATGATCTTGACTCCAAATTTCAGGACAGGTTTTTTGCTCACCTTCATTTCAGAACGGGTCTTTCTTGTCTCTCTGCCTTAACAGAAAGGTGGGGCATTTCCTGCAGTTTCATCACTTTAAGTTATCTAAGTTGAATCTCTCTCCTTAATTTGAGATCTTGCCCTCAAGCTATGCTGTTAATCACTAACATTTGTTCCAGGCACAGGTCTGAAAGCCAGCTGGGAGCAGCCCAGGAAAGCACTGCTGCTTCTGCCCCAGGAGGGTTTTCATGCCACCTGTTTTCCAAGGGTTTCTGGAACTTAACGAGAACAGAGGGAAACGAGACTAATGAGAACTTACATATGAAACATTTGAACTTCATTCTCTTTCAACAGCTTTTTTGTCAGAATTTTAAGATTCTGAGAAACCCCATCAGTGCATTCACAACACAGGCGTCTCTAAAGGAGTGCAGCTCAGCTCAAATGAATGCTTCCTGACAGCAAAAAGGCGAAGAGACACTGCTAGAAGTCATACAAACAAATCTTTTCTATTCTACCGGTTTTCAGTAACCAAAAGACAGTAGAAAGCAAAAATACTGGCTTAACAGGAGCTCTGACCAATTACTATCATCAAATTAGCAGCAGTTCTACAGATCTCTGCATGGATGACCTGTTCTCAGCGTGTCAGGAGCTCAGCAAGCCAAGACAGGAACAGCATGAGCAAGGACTTTTTGGGAAGGAAGGATGCCAGGCTGCATTCCTGGGCTCTATAAAGATGCCCATCTCCCTCCACAACTCCTTCAGTGCAGATCTTAAAGATCTGAAAACAGCAGCACTTCCGGCAGAATTAGACACACAGGCAATCTTTAATAGAAATGTAAGTTACAAAGGAGACCACCTAGTTAATCCTCATACTAAGTCAAGATCAACTATGCTTACATAGTTGATGTTATGCCAACATATTCTCCAAGGCATCCAAATCCGAAAATTCCTTAACCATCCCTGGCGATCCATTCCAAGGGATCATTTTTTTTATTACCTTTCAGATCTGG